CACCATAACACACCATGAATGGATGAACAGTTAACAAAAAAAAAAAAGGAAAAAAGTACAAACAATGAGTAACAATAGAAACAAAAATAGAACAAAAAACATGCGATCGAAAATCTCCCCCAATGAGTGCTCACTTTAATTTGCAATCGCTCGAGAGCGACGATGTGTCTTTCTCTCTCATGTAACGCTCATGCTCCCTGCGTTCAATGGGCTAATTATGTTTTTCTGTCCTGACAAATGTCAAAAACTGGTTCATCTTTATGGAATTGTCTCTAGTACATGAATTACAATTAAAGTAGAATTTTCAAATAAACTGCACTATAAAAGGCTTATCATACATATGGAAAAAATAGTAATATTGACAACTGAAAACAGTTGATAAAATTTTCTTTACATCTACAATTTTCAACAATAACATCTTGAAAATACAACATTCATATAATTTTCAAGCTTTACTAAAATGACATCTGTAACATAAGTTCAAAAGATACATATGTTTTTTTCACAATCTACAATACTATGAAAAAATCCACCTACCTTAGATTCAAGTACAAAAAAGGGAAAGAAAGTTAATTAAAACACATATGCATACTATGGGTTACATACTAGCTTTGGTTCAAAACGCATGCATGCACCCCCCCCCCCCCCACACACACACACACACACACACTCACTACACACACACTACATGCAACAACACACACACACACTCACACACTCAACACTCACACTCATGGTCACACACACACACAACACACACACACCACACACACACACACACACACAACACACCACACACACACACACACAACACACAACACAGACACACACCACCACACACACACACACACACAACAACACACACAACACACACAAACACCACACAACACACACACACACACCACAACAACACACACACACACACACATACACAACACACACACACACACACACACACAAAACACACACACACACACTACAACACACACAACAAACAACTCATGCACAAAACATACAACATCACACTCATGCACACACACAAGTACAACATGCACAAGTACATCACACTAACACTCACTCAGTAATGCACATGTACACACACACATACACACTCATGCACAAGGTATTACACACACTACAAACTAACATGACAATTACAGTAAACGCACACAAACTCACAACTCAGAAGCACATGTATGCACACACACACACTCGTCACAAGTACGCACACCACTCACACTCAATGCACAAGAATATGCACACACACAACTCATACAAAGCACACACACACTCACACTCATGCACACATACACACATATCCAAACATGCAACCATCATAAACTCATAAAATACTAATTTGTACAATACTATAGCTAATGTACAAGCACAAAAGACATACAAAAAAAAGAGAGTAGCAATTTCAGACACTGCCTGGCTAATAAGATATCCCATTACACTTGCTTAATTGCATTTTAAGGCTTCTGCTATCGCATTTAATGATATAAACCAATCAGAGGAAAAGTCATATCATATTTTATTATAGTTTTAGAAGAGAAAGCTGTATAGCTTAAATTGTTATTTTCTCATTTTTTCTTTCACACAATCACAATGAATTTTTGGAATCAAATCTTTAAAAATAACAGATAACAGATATAACAGATAAAAAATGTGAATGGAAAGCAGACAACAAAAAAACATAATGCTAAGTGTAGTGAAATTAGTTTTATGATATGGGTAATAACATTAACAGAAGAGTTATTATAAATGCGCTTACAATACCAAAGTAAACTTTCAGCTATAAAAAAAATAGTGCCAAACTATTATAAAAATACTAATGATGAAAACATCAGCAATAATTAGAGTAATAAATAATAGTGATAGTGATCATTTTGAATGACATTTGTGTAAAAAATAATATTGATACTAATGTAAAATGAAAATGTCAAGTGAACATATCTGTAGAAACACAAGACATAATGCTAATGATGGCAAAGAGGATGTCTATAATAAAGCAAAAAGTAATAATAATAAAAACAATATTAATGATATTAACAATCCCTAATCTCACCTGTGATGACATTTCCATACACATAAATGCTCACCTGTGATGAATTTTATCCATAAACACAGGTAAGTAGAGATAACAATTAGGCAAGTCAAATAAGGGAAGGAGAAGCATACACATAAAAATAATATAATGCTCACATATCTATGCTGGACTACAGAAAATCATGACAGTAACTGGCTGACTCTAAGAATCCGTTACAACAAGATGGGAATCTATTTAGGAGAGGGGCGTACCAATTCTATTCACACCGAGAAATAGTTATCTATCAAGAAAGCTACATCTTACTAGTTGAGTAGGAATAAAATGATATACTTTTTTGCCATCTCTTTCTCATAATTACATTATACTTATATAACCAATGGGAAAGTACTGATAAAAGTACAATATAATTATAACGATTAAATGATTAAAACTATGAACTCACTGTCCACCTCCTATATAGCAAGATCATCAGTGACACATCTCAGTCTGCTAACCTTCCTTGCGATGATCTTTTATCAAATTTCAGAGTCTGTGCCTTAGTAACATCATCAGGCCACATTTCATTAAGTAAAAATCAATCAAAGCGAGCACACATTTCATTAACCAGACGGTTTTGTAAGTTAAATACTGTGCCGACGTTGCCCCCTTGCTTAATTGCAACAGAATTAAGAGTTAGGATGTTCATGTAAAACACAAATTATAACCAAAAGCTAAAACACATTATAAATAATCAACTGCTATAGACAGCTCCACTCTTCACCTCTGACACGCATCACTACATTAGAGTGAACACTTTGTTTTACTTATACAAACTAGATTATAGTACCAGAATATTCAGTAAAGCCTCCAACTTTCAAAAAGAAAGTTTTGTTAAAATATTAATAACATTCAATATTTATATGATAGATGATCAAATTGATATTGACAAGCGATAATACCACATAAAAAATTAAAAAGAAAACATATATAGAAAAATCAAAAAAGACAAAACGAAGAACCAACAAAAAATACAGAAATCACTCCAAATAAACATAATGAAGATAAAAAGAATATAAAATCACTTGCCATAACAAGAAATTAAACATAGCCATTCAATATATCATCACCACTAGTTACTAAACATGAGAAATTGATAAACCAAACTTCCAAGCTATTCCAGCACAGTAACACAAAGGCCACAAAACAACTAAACAAAGCACACATTAAACAAGCTGCCTTTCCAATTCAAGACAGAGAAGGATGAAAGCACAATATATAGTTTACCACCTAATTAAGAGATTACAAATAATGCCAATAAATGTATAGATTACTAGAAGCAAAACGAGAAGGATATTTAGACATATAGAGAAATAAAAATAAAGATTATCATAAACATCAATGTTTACTTTTGTATCATACTCTAAAAAATGTAGCTAAATCTGCAATATAAGTAATGGTTTTGCAAAATTTAACCAGACTAAAACTGTTATTATATTTACATCCTTTCCCACAATAGTGGCAACTTAACCCATTCGTCCCGGGTGTCACATATATGAGACACCGGGAAAAATAAACAATATCGTACCCGAGGGATGAGTCACAACAAGTATAAATGAAAAGAAACAAACCGAGAAAACAATAAACCACATAAGGTCGGGGAACTGACACAAGAGACCAGTGGCGAGTCTCAGAGGGGAACATAGAGAATCACCGGGACAGAACAAGCGCAAACGCAGCTCACATGAGAAGTCGGAGGAACCGGGCGACAGACTCCGGGGAAAGCTCCGCCTGCCGATTTTGTACGGCCCAGCCCGGAATTTTTTTCTTTATTGGCTACAAAATGTACCGGCGTGACTGGGTTATATGAGTAACACAGCTTACTTCTCCTGAACTCCTTGACTTTATTCCAATATAACTACAAACTTCAAAAACAGTCACATAAACTCTGAAATAACTCAACTGTTCATAAAAAAGATCATCCCTTACAGAATGATACTAACATTAAAGAGAAGCAAGAAAACTAATAGAAATATATGACATTAAAAATATTAATCAAAGAGATGAAATAGCAAGAGAACAAAAACACCAAAATCAATAATGGAAAGCACCATCAGAACTACACATACCGAGAGAAATAAGTGACAAAAAAACACACATTTGCTAGATCGAAGAAAATAAGACCAATTATTGAAGAAAATGCCAAAATCAGACCATCATAGGGTCCTGAACTCACTAAATCAAAATCCAATCACTAGACCAAGAAAACAAAAGTACCCATAACAATCTTAGACTCTCCACATCTAAGTGAGAGCCATTACACAGACAGTCCTCAATCACAGAAGCAGCCACTCTATACGCTTCCCATCTCTACACAAAAATGCCTAGAGAGAAACACATGTCAGCCTGGCTCAAACATGTAATTTATGAAAGATCTACCAGCAAAATATATATAGGACTCAAGTCACACACTTACGGTCTCACGCAACAACTTAACATGAAAATCCTTATATCTCTATCCATATCCTAATAAATAAAGACCATATACACATAAAAAAGATCACTGATACCACCCACAAATATACTCATCACACAAGACATACAAACATGCCAAATCTAGTAAAATATGAAAAAATACTAAATACACTCTCATTTCCGCCAACTACACTAATGCCTTTCAGAATGCACACAACAAAGTGCATCTATACTTCTTCTTAACACTCAAAGTATATTCTACCTATTAAATAACTTAAGCTCAACTCATACTTAATAACAGTATAATCTACACAAGACGAGTTTACCTCCATATATCAATACAACACACAAAGTTGACCACTCCATTAAAACTGTCTTTCTACACTCTCCTATTATACTCCATTAAAAAACCTTCTTTAATTGCACTGATCTGGAAATAATTACATATCAAAATCAGTAACTCTGTTTACAATCTGTTACATCAGCAAAAAGCAGATTTATCCAAGCAGTGTCATGTTTGATAGGAAGCAGCAGTTGTGCATACATAAAAGTGATATAGAGCCATAACCCCTACCCAGTTAGGGAAAAAGTTTGGTGAACTCTAGAACAATCAATCATGTAATCTGGCGAGTTTGGAATATATCTCAAAAAGTACTATACTATCTACAGCTGTGAGAGTTACTTAACATTTCACTTTACTAAAGGTTATAAGAACTACATGGAAAGTCATACTCAGATCTAAATAAACACAATATTCTACAAGCTACACATAATAAATGAATATCCAACATACTCTAAATCAGATCTACTGACAGAAAAAATGAATACAACATAAAACATATATGTTCACAAACAAGCTGCATGTCTGTGTAGTGGATCTTATGTTCTTGCTTTGAACAACTACTGTTCTGTACTCTCCACCTCACCCTGTTTCCTGTACACCAAATACGGTGCTTAATTCTTTACTTACTAACTCTGCGTGGAGACATGGGTTTTCCATGTTTATCTGGAGGTTCCATGGGATTTCTGAGATACATGTCATCGATAAATGCAGGACTCCCCCATGTCTTCCCCGAGACTCCACCATGACCTGCAAAACCATGCACATATTAATACAACAATAATATCCCACAACCACAAATAAAACTGATATCCTTTTCTCAGGTCTATAAATAGAATATGGATCTCTTTTCCCTTTAGACAAGGGGGATTTATAAAGAGATCTATGGATGAAAATTTATCTCTATTTGCCCTTTTCTTTACTAAAACATATTTTTCTGTATGAAGAAGTTTCAATCAAGATTAGGACTAAAAGCAAATCATTCTAATCATATGTTTCCCTTCTGAACATATATTTTTACTGCATACGTGTAAAAAGTAGTCGCAAAGAGTTCTAGGACTAAAATTATGTCTTCTTGATTTGCTTTAACTGCACCTGTGTGTATGAAGGAGTTACGAAGAGGTTTGCTTATGTCTTGATTAGCAAGTCTTCTTTGAGGGTCCCCAATGCAGCGTGGAAAGTCTCCAATTTGAAAGGTTCTCTGATTCTGGCCCTTCCACCAATAATGTTCAGGCCTAAACACCAATCATATAAAAAAAAAATGTATATCAAAAAAATAAATATCAACAAATTTCCTGGAGTAAAACATATATTCATGAATATGTGAAACAATCTTTATATCAATCTCTATATGAGCAATGTCTACCCACATGCCATCTATCACTGCAATGAGGTCTCCAACTTCCACCTTCAGTCTCCCCTCTTCATCCCATGGCTGCTGAGCTTTCATAACAATTGGCATAATTCCTGCAACACGCTCATAGATTTGGGAGAATGTTGGACGTTCACCAGGATCATGAGACCAGCACTAAAAAAAAAAAAAAAAAAAAAAATCAGAAACTATCTATAAAGCCTACTTTATTGCTAAATTGTACATCTTATAAAAGCATCCAACAGTATACACATTTCCTACATATTTTGTGTCATATAGATATAAAGAGTTACTTAGCCATATTTACTACTTTTATCTACTCATTCTATCTAATTGTCTCTATTACTTATCAAACTGTCAAACTAAACTTTCTTTTATATATTTTTTTTCTGATTTCACTCTCTTATCAAATCTGTGAGTCATTACCTGCAACATAAGGTCATATAAATCACCAGGACATGCAGGAGGACATATGAGGCGCTCTCCCTCCTGGTCAATCTTTCTCAGGATCTGTTGTCCATTCAAGCCCACCCATGGGTCCTCCCCAAAGGTGAAAGTTTCCCAGAGTGTCACAGCATACATCCACACATCTGGAACATAAAACTTACTCAGTTTGAGCTTGTTTCTTGTATTTGTGACCAAACTCATCAAATTTTGCATTTCCCTCAAATACACATTCTCCCTAATAGAAGTCCTATCTTATTCACTATGATTATCTACAAGTTGTCAAAAACAGATAGGCTATTCTCCAGCACTTTTATTGTTTTCTTTTTTTTTTATCTAGCAATTTTTCTCCAGCTGCACCCACCAAACCATTTACATACCTCAATTCTCTTTACAGACCCTAATCTCCCTGAGCTATGGTACATTTCAATATATGCATATGTATTATTCTTATATGAATGGAATGGAATAAGTTCTATCGTGCCCACATTATCACTAGATTAATTTACACTCCACCCTAGTATCACTATCTGCAAACCATAAAAGTTAACATATCATAAAAAATAAAAAAAAAACACCCAAAACAAATAAAAAATACTAATAAAAAAAACAAAAAAAACAACACACAACACACAAATCACAACAACACACTATCGATACTATCATAACCCACGCACACATAACTACAATCATACCTATCACTCACTAACCATATACTGAGTGCAACCTACACAGAAAACTTACCCAGCAGAGCGAGGCACAACAACTATCTATCCTTATCAATTATCTACACACACAAATAAGCACGCAACAACTACATGAGATATAACGCATCGACAATACACATAATCTGGTGCATATAATAAAACGATGACATAAAATTGCTAAACACACCATGCGCGAACCCACTATATCAATCTAAATCACGACACACACACACATCATGTGGTTGGGAGTAGAATTCATCGAGAGCAACAGACATCGAAGGCAGAGCACACAACGGTAAATCTGAAGGAAAACCACCACTAAACTTACATAGATAGATAAAGAAATCCTGTTAAAAAACAACACATATTACCTACTAAAAAAACTATCACAGCCACGGAAACGGATGCGAGCGAGAGCTACACACACAGCACAATTCTCCAACCTAGCACTACGCATCAGACAAAACTGGAGCTCATCTAGACTTGAGAACGACTCCCACAAGGTATCGCACAAACACCACGGAAAACGGCACACATCACTAGCATCCATGTCATCAACACTACACAACAACATCTTCTTGCTGGGGTAATGCTCTCACTACAAGACACGCACCCAACAACCACACCACTATATTATTCAAACTGTGATGGAAAGGAGAACATTATACTAGTAATAACCAATACAAAATTAGATATAAAAATAAAAATATCAAAAGCTTTGGAGTAGGACATTAAAATTAAAATACACACACACACACCACACACACACACACAACACACACAAACAAACATACAACACACACAACACACACCAACACACACACAAACCACACACACACACCACAACAAACACACACACACACACACACACACAACACACACACACACACACACACACACACACACACACAAGCAAGAGACATAGATCCACAAGATAATGCTATGAAGTCAGCTCTTCACTTACGACTACGTATATTCACACGAGCAAATCAAATCACATGAATCTTTGTTATATACTTTATAAAACATAATGTGCAATAACAAACTGAAAGATTGTATAAAACAACATCACAAACTCACACTCAGATCACATCAAACACAGCGCAGCAAAACCACGATAAAACATATCACACATCAGATACACAGCAGAGAACACATAAAACACAATTTAATACCCATTTATAATGCAGTGTAAGGTAACCTTCATTACAAATGAGACAGAAAAAGGTGGAACTATCCTATTCTATAAAAGATCCAGCTCTCTCAAGTAATATTAATAAGACCATTACAAAACAAATATAATCAAAATGGTTAATAATGAAGAAACAGAACCCAATATGAATAAAATTCCAAGCACTAAAGTGTCAGAAACAAAGGAAGATCACTTTAATGCAATTAATCCATTCATATGAAAATAGACATATGCATAAAAAAAATAACTTACCATTATATCAGAAAGATAGCCAACAATACATTTTCTGACTGCTTTAATGAATCTACAGAGGTGAATTATTAGAAAAAAAAAAAATCCCC